TTTTTTTTTTTTAGGCAATTGGGGTTAAGTGACTTGCCCAGGGTCACACAGCTAGTATGTGTCAAGTGTTTGGTCTGAGGCCGGATTTGAACTCAGGTCCTCCTGACTTCAGGGCCGGTGCTCTACTCACTGCGTCACCTAGCTGCCCCAAGGCTATTTTCTATGGTGTTATTTTCTTCAGTATATTTTTGGGTCTCCTTTAGCAAGTTGTTGACTTGTTTTTCATGATTTTCTTGCAAAATTCAGTTTTTCCTCTACTTCTCTTACTTGCTTCTCAAAATCTGTTTTAAGCTCTTCCAAGCCTGGGACTGATTCATATTCTTCTTGAAGGCTTTGGATGTAGGAGCTTTGACTTTGTTGTCTTCTTCTGGTTGTATGTTTTCATCTTCTTTGTCACCAAAGTAAGATAATATAGTCTGACTCTTTTTGCGCTGCTTACTCATGATCCCGGCCAATTACTTGAGTTTTAAACTCTTTGTTAAGGTAAAAGTCTGCTTCCAATGTGGAGAATGTACTGTCCCAAGCTTTGGGGATTTGTACAGCTGTTTTCAGAGGTACTTCTATGGACCTGAAAATTTTCAGTTCTTCCAAGGTGCTATGATAAGGGGCGAGGTGTTTTCTCTCTACCGCCATAGCAAGCTTCACCACACCAGCATCCCTCCTCGCCCCAGGACTGCCCCTCAAACTGTGACCCAGATCCAAGCAGTGGTAAAGCAAGAGATTCCTGCCTCGGCACTAGCAAAGAGATCCTTGCAATCCCCCTGTGATCAGCCACTTGATTCCCCCTCAGTCTGTGGGCCAGAAGCTTAGGAAACAGCCGTGGCCCTGGGGGTGGCTGAGACCTAGCTCCTTCTCTCACCGCAGTCACAGACTTTTCCCACTGACCTTCTAAGTTGTCTTTGGTGTTCAGGGATTGAGAAGTCTGGAAACCGCCACAGCTGCCCACGATTCAGTCCTCTGAGGCCTGCTCCAGGTTCTCTGAGGCCTGCGTACCCACACTGCACTGCGCTCCTCCCCCCTCCCCTGGCACGACATACCTTTCCAATCAACCATCCAGGCTGTCTTTGGCTAGAAATTCGTTTCACTCTGTCTTTCTGTGGGTTCTGCTGCTTTAGAATTTGTTCAGAGCCATTTTTTATAGGTATTTGGAGAGGTTTGGGGGGAGAGCTCAAGTAAGTCACTGCTTTCCCTCTACCATCTTGGCTCCGCCCCTTATATATCCTTCACAATGCTAGGGTATAATACATTAGTCAATCATCAACATTAGCATGTTTAGCTTTCTTGATTTTAGGCCTTTGTAACCTCATTTTCACTTCTGTGTTGGCAATCACAAACATCCGAGGCTATGGGCAGCAGAGAAAAAATGAGAGGCAAGATGTGTGAGAGTTTATGGAGGGCTGGTATCCTAATGGATGCTTCACTGTCTTGTTCTGTTATAAAGAGCTCCCCATTCACTAGTTGCATATTTTCATTGTTTGCCTTTAAAACTCAAATTTTGTGTTGCAATTGTGCCCCCAAAGCATAGGGCAAGTCCTGTGAACTTTAAGGTGAAGTTAAGACCTTACCAGTCTTGGAGTCTTCCAGCAGCAGCTACTAAAATCCCAGCAACCTCTCCCTTGGTTTTCAGAAGAAGGCCAAGGTAGAGAGGTTTACAACAGTATGATATATAGTATAATGCCCCTATACCGCTATCTGACAGTGAAAGGTAGGATTCACGTTTAAAAATGTTTTAGTTTTAAGAATTTTATTTGCTGTACAGTATTTACGGTACTCTAGACTTCATGTGTTATACAAAATAAATAGTCTAAAATCAGTTTTTTAAAAATGTTAGCACAAAAGGTCATAGAATTCTAGAGAATTATTAGCAAGAAAATTTTTTTTGCATGTTACCAACTTTATTTTGTGTATGACATTTTATCAGTAATTTCATGGTTAGGAAATCATGTTTCCTATGTTAAGAAAAGTGCATATTATCAGAATTAATATTTTCTGATAAATAATTATATACAGAAAAGCGTATTTTCAGTAATGTCTAGCAAAAGATTAGCTTTTGGGGGTTGCAGGACTCTAACCCCGCTTCTCATAGGTTCAATGTATGAGCATTTGTATTTTTTACTTTTGTACTGTTTTATAGGAATGTTACTCCCATGAAAGTTGAGGGATGACTATGTGTGTATGTATTTGCATATATATGTAATTTAATATGTTACAAGTGTTGGAAGAATATTCTTTTGTTCCTCTCTCAATCTAGAGCAGTTGCATGACAATTTTTTTGTTATTCAGTGTTCTGTGAACACTTTAAAAAATAGTTAGACAATATTTATTCTTCCTAGCTTTAGGATGAAAATTTCCTTAAGCCTGCTTTCTTTGCCTATCTCAACGTCCACGTATATAGAAGTCAGATCTTCTACCTGGACTATTGTAGCAGCTTCCTAATTGGTCTCCCTGCTTCCAATCTTTCTCCTTTCTAATATGTTTTCTGCATAGCTGTCCAAATAATCTTCCTAAGACACAGATCTGACCGTATCACCACCCTACTCAGAGATCAGCTCTAGGATAAAATGCAAACTTTGCAATCTAGCTCCCACCTACCTTTCCAGACTTCATGCACCCTGCAAACACTCTAAACCAATTATCTTGCTATTCTCCCACACCTGCATTCTATCTTGTTTGTGTCTACAACAACTTCTCTGACATGCTTGGTTCACACTCTACTCACACTTGCCTCTCAAAATTCTTGTATTTCATCAAATCCTGATCCCCATTCTTGACATGCTTTCTCCTTTATTTTATATTTAATTTTCTGCTTACAACACTGGCTATCTCCAGTGGAGTAAAAAGTCTTGCAGAGATGGTTTTTCATTTTTGTCTTTATGTTCCTAGCACCATGCCTTGTAGTGGGTACTTCAATGATTGTGTTGGATTAAGTCAGATGGAATGAGAACTCTAGTACCATAACACCAAAACCTTTATTCAGAAAATCTTTACTGAGGCATCTGTATATCCAAAGCACAGTGCTAGTTTCTGCAGGGACTAAAAAAGTGAATGGCGTACTGTCCCCGCCCTTACACGGCTTGTTGATTCTGTGGTGAGGTCTATGTTTCCTGAAGAAGAATTTTAATTCTAAGCCAATACGACACCAAATGAGCCCTTTCTTTATACTTTACATTTAAAGAGCACCTCAAGAAGGTAGAACATTTTAGGTAAGCCTCTCCTTAGAAAATCTTTTTTCTTAGGAACATTTTGTTTGCAGTCCTAATTGTGGCTTGGCCATAGATTTACTACTACAGAAGGCTTAATGATGTGAATATCTGTTTACCAAAGCCTAGAATTCCCTGTAGTGGGGACTACAGACTGATTGACTTAATGAGAGCATAAAAATCTGTCCTACTTTTGGTTTTATTGGACCAGTGGTTCCTCGGTTTTCCTTCTCCCTAACCCCACCCCACCCCCATCATCCACTTTTAACAATATAGCCTTTTTTCTTCTTGGATGTCAAAAATGCTTCCTTCTTGCATCCATGGAGAGGCAGCACTGGTGTCCAAGGCAGAAGCTCTGGGTTAGAGTTGCCACTCTTTGTGCCTTTGGGCAAGTTACTTTACCTACAGAAAACTGTTTCATCATCCCTCAAGTGGTAGTAATTCTCACACTACTGGCCACATAGGCTTGTTGTGAAAAAAAGCACTCTGAAAACCAAAGAGCTGCTCTTGTCAAAATCTTGTCCATAAGGGCACTATCCATAGTGCCCTTGGTTCAGTTCTAATCAACATTTTGTATGTGTGACAGAAGGTGGCACAGGTTGCATGCTTATCTTTTTAGATTTGCACATGTCAGGAAACTAAAAAGGAATAGCAAAGTTAATGTGTTAGATGAAAGAATTATGGCCCAGAAAAAGTATCATTAGAAGGGTGGGGCCAAATCTATTAAGATAAAATTTAATTAGGAATCAATGCTAAGTCCTATATTTTGGTCTAAAAAATTAATTGTACAAGATGGAGTTTTTTCTTTTTAAATGAGAAGAAAACCTAGGGATTTTAGTGGATTGTAAAAGTGATAAGGAGCTAGAACAAGTCAGTGTGATCTTAAAATGCAGAATAGTGTTGAGAACAATGGATGTCAGAGCACGCCTGGAATCTTGTATTCAATTCTGGGTGCCATATTATAGGGGAGAATGACGGAGGAACTGGAATCCAAGTTATGTAAATATTGTTGGCAAGAACTGGGATTGTTCAATCTGGAGCAGATTCATGGGGGGATAAGATAGCTGTCAAGTATTTGAAGGAGTGACATATGGACAAGGGATTCAACTTACTCTCTCTGGTCCCAAAGGGCAGAATTGGGAGGAAATGGCAGAGGCAAATTTAGATTCAATATGAGGAAGAATTTAACAGTTAGAGCTATCAAAAATGAAATGGACTACCTTGGCAAATCATGAGTTTCTTAGCTTTGATCTTTAAAAGTAAGTTGGATGACCACTTGCTGGAGATATGCAGAAGGGCTTGCTTCACGTAGTAGTTGGCCTGGTTGGCTTAGATGGCCCGAGTTCCTTTCCAAATCCCTTACCCCATCAGTATTGGAAAAATTAAGTTATTGTGACCCCTCCATTGGAAAAATACTGAAATCTATGAAGGACAACCCACAGAATTACAGAAAATGAGAGTTAGGAGGGACCCCAGCAACCATTTATTCCAACTCATATGGAAGGAATCCCACTCTAACATACCCGACAAGTGGACATCCAGCTTCTACCTGAAGACCTTCGAGGAGAAAGAAAACCCCTACATGACATTACCAGTGATAGCAGATGTGCAATTAGGAGTCATATAATTAAAAACAAAGCAGTCAGTCCTCTGCCACAATAGAGGCAAATCTCAAGCTTCTTTCTATGAGGTCGTTTGCCTCCTGGTTCATATTTTCAGTTAAGTAAAAACCTAAGGGGCACCCGTGCTATAAACATCAACAAAATGCAAGTGACACTTCATTTTTGCTTTTTCTTTCAGGGGGTGCACAATATGACCAAAAACACATCATTCTCAACACTGCCAACCAAGAGAAGTTGACACAGGTTTGGGAGGCCTTGATCTTGTAATCCTGGACAAAGAATGCAAAAGATATTCAGGAGCTACAGCTAGAAACTTAAGTACATGGAACATTCAATTTGAATTCCCAAAAACCAGCATTCAGCATTGAAGCATGTCATGCCTGGGAAATTTATTCCTTCTTTTCAGGACAAAGTTTGCATTTATGCTACAGCTTGTCACTGAGTTTTGGCAATTCTGATTCTGTCCCTTTCCCTATTATTTTTTTTAAGGAACGGCTTAACAAGAGTGCCTTATTAGCAGATGTTTTGTGTTATTGGAGAGTTGTTAATATCGAATCTGTCTGTTTTAAATTATTCCCTAAAATGTCTTGACAGAAAAGAATGTAAACATAGTAACCAATCAAAACATTCTGGACCCATAAAAGAAGTTGAACTGTACCAAGGTGGGAAACAGTGGAAGCTGAAATTTGCAATATAAAGGATAGATCATTCACTAGCTGAAAAGTTCCAGTTCCGTACCTGGCATACAGAAGGCAGCTTCATGATGTTTGCTGAATTGTTGAAAAGAAATGTAAATAATTTATTAGGACCATGACTGTGGTCCCCAAGATTTTTGGGTTGTTATTCCTTAATTATGCCACACCAGGCACTTCTAGGGACTTTCAACCAAAGCCGGGGTCGAACACAAAGCCTTAAGTCATGTATATGCATGATGTAAGAAGTCGTTTAAGTCCAGTCAAAATGTTTTTTCTTCAGGCAACTTTTTAAAATGGCAGCATCCTTGGGGTACTAGCTAGTCTTTGCATAGCTGTGCCACTGGCCCAGTAAGTATTCCTTGGCCATTATACCTATCACTATAATGGTGTGTGGCTCTAAACAGTTCTGAGTGAACATTGCCCAAAAGCTTTTTTTGGGAAGAGGGATGGTTCCATGCAGCACAGTAACGTGGCCTTTTCTTACAAGCTTAGAAATGTTTTCATTTGTTTACTCATCTTTGTGTAATAATGTGAGCTTCCAGGAGAATGGGCTCCATTTCCAGTCCTGTTAGTTGGCTGTGCTTACTTCTTTTGTGAAAGCACATTGGGCCCTGCGCCCTCATTATCTCCCTAGCTCCAGAGAAATGGATAGATAGACCTAGTACTTGGGTGAGCAGACACCCCCTGTGTCAAGGCATCTTTGGGGTTGGGTGCCCAAAGTGAGGCAGTGGAGCACGTGCAACAATTGGTTTTCAGATAAGTTGGCCAAACTGCAGTTACCTCCCTTCCTGCAAACATTAACCAGATCCTAAAATTCTGTATGATAGGTAACTTCGTATATGAAAGGTGAAGTAAATAAAAACTGCTTAAAATACTGGGGCATCAGGGTGCTTTTTATTAATGTGGTGTGATAGTTGTGATGACCACGGTCAGTTCTTCTCTAACCTTTTCCTTCCTCACCCCAACTGTTGCTCACTTTACAGAACACTGGTGCTTTTGTCCTTGTCTCTAGGGACGCAAATCTCTTAATCTGATTCCAAGTGTCTCTGAGTGTGGTAAAAACCAAGTATTGAAATTTTGTCTCTGAGGTTCAAAATAAACAGCCTGTCGTGATAGAGGTGAAATATATGTCTGTCTCTCCTTCATAAACATTTCCTTCTGGTTTTAAGCTTTCTTTTTATTTTGAACACTGGTGTAGTCAGGCCTTCTAAGTCTAAGCCTTGTTTCTGCCTCCTCGTGCTAAATTTATTTCATGAATACACTCCTTTCATGTTAACCTGACTCAGTAAAGCCTAACACATTACCATTTGTTAGCCATGGCACAGCACAACACTCTAAAGCCAAAAAAAAAAAAAAAAATCGGTTGGTGGATTAGAAATGGGAATGCAACAATGAAGCAGGATGACGGTAAGAGTGAAATAATGCTCTGTGTGTGGAGACCACCTGGAAACTGTTAGCAGTTTGTTAATAGCAAATGAATCTCCTGCCACCACCCCATTCAATACCATGTCCAGCTCCAGAGAACACTTAAGTGGACTGTGGATTTGGCTGCTGCTACAGCAGTGAGTGAAAGTGAGCATTTTGTTCTCCTGGGGGAAGAGAGATGAAGCCAGGCAGCTACAACTGCAGAGTCTGGCTCTCAATAATGTGCTCATTTGCACTGCTCTTATGTTAAGAGGCTCATCTCTAGAGCAGGGCGCCTTAAATTGATGTCTATGGATTAAAAAAAAAAGTCTGATACCTATTTCAGTATGATTGGTTGCCCTTGTGATCCTATGTATTGTACTTACTGAAAACGTGTTATTCTGAGAGGATCCAGAGGCTTCCTTAGACGGCTGAGGAGGTCCATGACCCAACAAAGATTAAAAAACTCTGCTCTAGAGAAAGCCACCAAGGGATGATGACACTCTTACCTCCAGCCACTCTAGGAAAAAGGATCAGGCAGCTTTTTTATCACCATCCACCTTCATGCGTTCAAGGGACAAACAGCTGTGATGGTTCTGGGTGGAAGCTAAAAGGCGCCACAGGAGGAAAGAGTCTGCAAATGAACACTAAAAGGGCAAAGCAAGGTGGACAAAGCCAGACAAACAATGAAAGCTGTGGAAAGCCCTCTTCCAAAGAGCCGCTGACTCCAGCATAAACAAAAGGATCTCAGAGGTGAAGCAGCTGAAAAAGGTTAAAGCAGGATGGAGAAACCTCACATGATGGGGGCAGGAGGGGCTCACCAGGCAGGGCTAGGGAGCTGACCATAACAGAGCTTCTAGGCAAGGGAGAGTGTTGGGGGGGTGGGAAGGCAGTATTTATTGCAGAGGGGGAGAAATGAGCTAGAGAAGTGAAGGAAGAGTGAGTCATAGGAAACAGTTCTGGAAATGGACACCTGAGTGTGGGTGTGGGTGGGGAGGCACAGAGAACACAGACAAAAGGATTTTTCATCTTTGCTAGACCAGTGGTAGGTCAGGCTGGAGAAATCTAATTCACAGTGGAGAGGGAGAGTGTTTACACTTAAAGTGAGAAGTGACAGTTCTGTATTTAGAGTAACAGCACTGGTCAAACTGGTACAGATGAGCACGCAGACAGAACGGGGCCACAGTGAAAGGGTCTCTCTGTTCTGACACAAAAGAGAAATCTAAGTTCACTGGGAAGATGGGCTATTGATCAGTGCTAGGATCTAAAAGGCACAGCTAACATGGCTGAAAGCTCGAGAAAATCCAGATTATTTGAAGGCGTTATGAGTTGTCAATGTGGGCACCAATGGTGCCAGGTACAATCCATGCATGCCTTTTCATCTTTGTGCCCCAGTCATTGTCCCATAAATACTCTGCAGAGGTCCACTCGATATGTGCCAGGGGCCTACCTCTAGGTCTTTTGACATTAAATGGGTGCCAAACCTGGCCTGTTCATTTCATTCCTCACTCTTGGTTACACGACCAGCCATTCTCCGGTTCTACATTCATCTTTTATACCCCTTCTGGAATACAAATTGTTCTTGGTAATATACTGTAGCCTTTTTGTACCCACTATGTACCCCCTCTGCATAACTCACAATTTGGATTCTTTGAAGATTGTCATATTCCATAATTCATGGGCCATATAGCATCTGTGGAAGAATATTTTTGTTGGAGACGGAGGGATTTTTGTTGGATGGAGAAGCTTGGGGCTTTGGACAAAAAAATTAAAACATATATTGCAAAAAAGTCTTCAAAACAACTTATAACTGTATGGTTTTTATAGTTTACAAAGTGCTTTATATGTATTCTCATCTGATCCTCATAATCCTATGAAATTGGTAGCTCACATAAGATTATCTCTTACAGATAAGGAAGCATGGTATAGTAGATAGAGGAATGGCCTGACAGCCAGGAAGCCCTGAATTCAAGTTCAGTCTGACCAATTTTGGTGTGTGCGAAATCTGAACAAATCACTTAACCTCTCAGTGCTCTAGACAATTCTCTAAAGCTGTACAATTTACAGGAAAGGTGCTACCTGTACTGACGGAGGGAGTTTCCTCATCCTGGAGCTCCCTATGCCAATGAAGCCACAGCTCCACTCCTGTCCCTAGAGAAGAGGAACGGGCTTAGGGGAGGAAAGACTTGCCCCAGGTCAGAACTAGTGAGTGGCAGAAGCAGGACTCCTGAAGTCCACACCCAGTGCTCCTCCCACAATTCCATGCCTGCTCACCTTCTGATAGCCCTGGGATGTCAGACCTTCTCTCAGCTGCCTGCCTCCTGACCCCAGGGAGCGAGGGGCAGAGCAGAGACCTTGAGCACTAGTTACTACAGTTGAGGGCTCCTTCAAGAGCCTCCTGGAGGCCATCTCAGGGCAGAAGTCCTGCCTCTCCCTGGAGCACTCCTATTACCTAATGAATCAGGAGCTTCACAAAGAACATGATGGAAGAAGCAGCTGCAGTCAGCTCTGGTTCAGCTTCATTCTGGCAGCACTTAATGTGGACAGTGAATAATCCTAAGTCAGGAACACTTAAATCAGACTTGTGGCTAGAGACTCAGGGAAACGTAAAGACATTTCCCCTCATCTCCTGAAAACTATCAAAACTCATGCTCATTAAACCTCTGATAAATGTGGAGAGTCAGGAAGGAAATGGGAGCATATGCCAGAGGCAAACAACAAGTGTGAGATCTGTTGATCAACAGTCAGTGTATTTTCTTTTTCTTAAACTACATTAACCACTGTCTTTCCTCGTGCATGTCCACCTTCTGTCTTCAGAAAGGCTTGGGGAACTTGAGAGAAAGGGAAGGTTTCTTCAATAACTGGTCGGATCTGTAAAACATGAGTAAAAAGACAATGTTAATTGGTTAATGTTAATAATAATGTTAATCTAAAGCTAGAAATAGGTACATCTTCAAAGCCCATATACAGTTCTAAGGTGTAGTCCCAAGGCAAGGAGGAGTACTAGCACACTACAGGGGGTGGCCTCAGGCGAGGGGGGACCATGTTTAAAATCCCAAGACAGAAAAAAGCGCTTGTAGTCACTCACAAACCAGAGCACAGGCCAGGAGAACAGTGACCACATCTCTCCTTAGATCATGTTGCCTCAGAAGAATTGAAAGTTTACAGACCCCTAGCTCTGTAAACTGCAGCATGAAAAACTCGAAGTTTGGGACAGTGCCCCCTCCACCCCAGGAGCAGAGCCCAACTTTAACATAAAGTTAAAAGTCAAGAAATAGGCTGGGAAAATGAGCAATTAACAAAAAAAGACCTGACCACAGAAAGTTACTTTGGTGACAGGACAGACTAAAACACAAACTCCGAAGAAAACAATAAGGTCAAAAGAGCTACATCCAAAGCCTCAAAGAAAAATGTGGATTGATCTCAGGCCCAAAAAGAATCCCTAGAAGAGCTCAAAAAGGATTTTAAAAATCAAATAAGAGAGGCAGAGGAAAAATTGGAAAAAAATCAGAGTAATGCAAGAAAATCATGAAAAAAAGTTAAAAGTTTGGTAAAGGAGGCACATAAAAATACTAAAGAAAATAACACCTTTAAAAACAGAATAGGTCAAATGATAAAAGAGGCACAAAAATCCACTGAAGACAACTCCTGAAAAAGAAGATTTGGCTACATGGAAAAAGATGTAAAAACACTCAATAAAGAAATGACTTCCTTGAAAAGTAGAATTGGCCAAATGGTTTTAAAAGGAAGTACAAAAGTTCACTGAAGAAAATAATTCCTTAAAAGTTAGAATTGGGCAACTGGAAGTGAATGTTTCCATGAGACACTGAGAAACAACAAAAATCAAAAGACTGAAAACACAGAAGAAAATATGAACTATCTCACTGGAAAAACAACTGACCTGGAAAATAGATCAAGAAGGAATAATTTAAGAATTATTGGACTGCCTGAAAGCCATGACCAAAAAGTAATCCTAGACATCATCTTTCAAGAAATTATCAAGGAAAACTGCTCTGATATCCTAGAACCAGAGAGTAAAATAGAAATGGAAAGAATCCACAGATCATCTCCTGGAAGAGATCCCAAAATGAAACACCCCCAGGAATATTATATCCAAATTCCAGAGCTCCCAGGTCAAGGAAAAAATATTGCAAGCAGACAGAAAGAAACAATTCAAATATTGTGGACTCACAGGCTCACACAAGATTTAGCAGCTTCCACATTAAAAGAGTTCAGGGCTTGGAATATGCTATTCTGGAGAACAAAGTAGCTAGGATTACCATCAAGAATCACCTACCCAACAACAGTGAGTATAATCCTTCACGAGAAAGAAACGGATGTTTAATGAAGTTGAGGACTTTCAAACATTCCTGATGAAAAGACCAGGGCTGAATAGAAAACTGACTTTCAAATACTAGATTCAAGAGAAACATAAAAAGGTGAACAGGAAAGAGAAATTATGTGAGATTCAATAAAGTTAAACTGTTCACATTCCTCCATGGGAAGATGATACTTGTAACTCCTCAGAACTTTATCATTATTAGGGCAGTTAGGAGGAGTATAGAGTATATAGTATATAGAATAGTAGACAGAGGGTATGGGTATAAATTGACTATGATTAAATAACTAAAAATAAAATTAAGGGGTGAAAAAGAAGGATGCACTGGGAGAAGGGGGAAGGGAGAGGTAGAATGGCATAAATTATCTCACATAAAAGAGGTGCAAAAGAGCTTTTACAGTGGAGGGGAATATGAGGATGGGGATGGCAGAATTGGCTCAAAGAAGGAATAATATACACACTCGGTTGATTATGGAAATGTATCTTACTCTAAAGGGAAATAGGAGGGAAAGAGGATAAGAGAAGTGGGTGGTGGTGCTGATAGAAGGGAAAGTAGACTGAGGGAAGCAGTGGTCAGAAGCAAAACACTTTTGAGGAGGGACAGGGGGATGATAAATGGGAAAAAATAGGATGGAAGGAAATATACAGTTAGTCATCATGACTGAAAAAATTTTTACAGCAAGCTTCTCTGATAAAGGCCTCATTTTTCAAAATATCGAGAACTGAGTCAAATTTATAAGAATACAAACCATTCCCCAATTGATAAATGGTTAAAAGATGTGAACAAGCAGTTTTCAGATGAAGAAATCAAAGCTATCTATAGTCATGTGAAAAATGCTCTAAATCACTATTAGAAAAATGCAAATTAAAACAACTCTGAGGTACCACATCACACCTATCAGATTGGCTAATATAACAGAAAGGGAAAATGACAAATGTTGGAGGGGATGTGGGACGCTAAAGCACTGTTTGTGGAGTTTCGAACTAATCCAACCATTCTAGAAAGCAATTTGGAACTATGCCCAAAGGGCTATAAAATTGTGCATTCCTTTGACCCAGCATTACCTCTACTGGGTCTGTATCCCAGAGAAATTAAAAAAAAAAAAAAAAAGGAAAATGACCTATACATACAAAAAATATTTATAGCAGCTACTTTTGTTGTGGCAAAAGAATTGGAAATTGAGGAGATACCCATTAACTGGGGAATGATTAAATAAGTTGTGGCATATGATTGTGATGGTATATTACTGTGCTATGAGAAATGACAAGTATGCTTTCAGAAAAACCTGGAAAGACTTACACAAACTGATAAGTGAAGTAAGCAGAACTAGGAGAATATCGTACACAATAAAAGCAATACTGGACGATAATCAGCTGTGAATGACTTAGCTATTCTCAGCAATACAATGATCTAAGACAACTCAGAAGGACTTATAAAAAATGCTATCCACTTCCAGAGAAAGAATTGATGAAGATGAATGCAGATCAAAGCACAAATTTTTTTCAACTTTCTTTACTTTTCTTGTTTCTGGTCTGTTTTCTTTCACAACATGACTAATATGGAAATACATTTTGCATGATTACACATGTATAAGTTATGTCAAACTGCTTGCTGCCTCAAGCGGGGAGGGTGTGACAGAGGGAGGGATAGAATTTGGAACTCAAAATTTAAAAAAAAAAGTGATAAAAATTGTCTTTACATGAAATTGGGGGAAAAAAATTAAAATAAATAAATGGACAGGTTGTCTTCCCAACAGAAGTATGAAGTCCCTGAGGCAAGGTCTACGGCTTCCATCACTTCTGTATCTTCCATGACATCCAGCACAGGGCAAAGATTTTAATAGATGCCTGGAGCATCAAAATCTCTCCACGATGCTTCTTTGCTTTGAGTGGCACCTGCCTCACAAGGTGGGAAGCCAGGAGAGGGTCTCCCTGTCAGAGAACGGGGTGGTGGCAGCTGGAATCCCAGAGGACAGCCATCACACCCTGCTCATGATGCCCGAGTGCCCGCTCATTATTTTTAATGTGCCATTTATTCTGTCAATAGCCTCCCTCTGAAATAAGACACTAGTTAACTTCCTCATCCCCCTCCCCTCCAGGAATGCAGCTGAACCCTTATAAAAGTTTAAATAAAAATCGATAATTACCCATGTGGTATTTCAACTGAATAGCTCTGAAGGTTCCATGGGCAGAAACAGATTTGTCATAAGGCAAAAATCTACCCATGTATTTTACAAGCAGTTTTCTTTTACGAGTGCTATGCTGATTACAAGCAAGATAATAGACCATTTACTCTAACAAGATGCATGCTTTAAGAAATTATATGGCTGGACAGAAAATGGAACTTAAAAAAAAAATTAACCAGCTATAAAAGCATTTCTATTGCATGTACACACTCAGTTCAGTCAAGCCACAGCAAAAAGAGACCACAGCTCTGTAAAGCTAGAAGGGACCTACGAGGTCATTTACCCACTTGTTTCACAGATGAGGAAACTGAGGCCCAGAAAGGATAAGTGACATTGGCTGAGGTCACAAGGAGAAGGGGCAGAGCCTCAGATTCAAACTTGTGATTCTGAATTCTGTGCTTTCTATTACATCCCCTCTTCTTGATGACTGCCAGATTTACTTGCATTTTCCTCCAACTCCATCAGCAATCAATCACCAAGTATGTACCAAGAGCCTAAAACGGTCAGGCACAGTGTTAAATTCCAGAGACAGAAAGACTCAAGAGGAGCATTAAAAAGGTAAACAGGAAAGAGGAAAGGTCCCTGGCATTAAGGAAATTACAGTCTAACAGAGGAGAACACGTCCATATGTAAGTATATGCCTAACATAACAGCGTGTAGGAGACATGCAGTTTGGGGAGGGAAGGCACTCTCAGCTGGGGGCATCAGAAAGGGCTTCACAGAGAAGGTGGCACTTGAGCTGAATCTGGAGGAAAAACCCAGGACTACAGAAAATGGAGGTGAGGAAGCAATGCATTTTGGGTATGGAGGACAGCTAGTGCAAAAGAGAGAAAGAAAAAAAGATGAGTAAAGGGGAGAAGGAAAGGGGGGAGAGGGGAGAGAAATAACGTGTAAGGCTAGAAAGGGAGACAGGGTCCAGGTTGCAAAGCTTATATTTGGTTGGAGTTTTGTAAGTAGGTGAGTGAGAGTGAAGGATAGAGGGGGACACCGAGATTACAAACCTGGGTTACTGGAAGGATGGTAGTACCTTCCAAAATAACAGGGAGGTTTGGAGAAGAGGTGTGTTTTTGAGGAAAAGCACAATCTAAGCCAAGCCACCAGCAAAGACAGGGTGTCCCCAAAGTCTTAGCTCAATCCACTGGGGGATGGGAAGCTTTCAGGAGGAAAATGTGCACATTTCTTTATACAGGTGAAGGAGTGGGATGAAACATACATAAAGAGGAGCGAGTGGGTGTGATATCTGCATGCCTTCACACTAGAGATAACAGGGAAAGAAAGGAAAGGAACAGGCATTTACATGCTACGTGCCAGATGCTGCACTAAGTGCTTTACAAATATTATCTCAT